TGTGTGACTGAATATACACCATAATTTCCGTTTTGTGAAAAATGTGTTTACTACAACTTGAAGGGATCTGAAGTTTTCACAACATGTTAATATGTTGTGATAATGGGTCATGGTTTTCTGTTCTTTTTCTAAACAGGTAAGAAAATTACATTTTCTACAAGCCATTATTGTTGAAGGAAATTTTTTTTCCTTCTGTTGTGTATCAAGAGGAAAAGACCCTCTACTTCCATCTTCTTGCAATATGACATCTACCCACCCTGTCCTGTAGAAACATAGGAGCCACTGGGAGTAACATCTCCTTTGTCTCGGCAATGTCCTGTTTGAAATTCTGCACCCTCTACCCCACGCGTGTTACCCACAAACATGTCTTATTCTCTCCATTACAGACATTCTGGGATGGTTTATACATATGTGTAACTCTCCCTGTCTCCCACCACCGGCTGATAACCGTGCGAGTGGCTCAGTCACGTGACTTTCAATTCATGGTTCTTACAGGAACAGAAGCTTGATGACATGAATGGGCCACTTAACCAGAGAAGAGAAAACCGCTCGAAGTCGGCTCGGAAGTACATCAGGGTCAGGAAAAGGTCACCTAAGGAACTGAGAGGCTGACACACGTCAGTGGCCAAGCAAAGAGGGAACACTCTAGGGACATGGGAGTCACTGGAGAGAAGGCGGAAAGGAGGAAGAGAGAATCATTGTGAAATCCCAGAGCTCAATATTCTGTCCAGACCCACAGTGCTCGGGAACGTTTTCCATGGTGCGCTGGTGAGGATTCGGCCTCTTTGATAAAAGCTGAGCTGTCCCCTGCCATGGCCCGTCCACGCCAGGCTCTCCCGCACTCACCTGCGAACAGGCCTCCTGTCAGCGCCCGTTTCACCATCCAGGGCTCCGTCGCCCGCTCCAGCAGAGACACCAGGTCTGGCTTGGGAACACAAGGCCCTGCGCAAGTGACGAGAGGGGGTTCAGTCCCACTCGCGGCATTCTGCTGCCGGAGCAGTGTTACTGCAGGAAGAAAGGTGAAGATGAGGAGGATGTGAAAGGCATCAGGGATGATGCTTCAAGCCCAGCAAAGACACCAGCTTTCACCTCTACAAATGCCAAACTCTTATCTTAGGAATCAGGAGCAAAACTTCAGGCCGGCACCTCAGGAGACCCCCACCCCCACCCCGCCACCACCAATAATTCAGAACTGAAGTATGAAAATCTGAAAACAGATTCAGATTTGGGAGAGGAACACCCTTACCTACTGAACCCGGGTCGCCGTGGTTCTCCCATAGCACATTCTTACACAGACTCTTCTGAGCTGGGTCCAGCTGCTGGGAGAGGTCGACAGCCATGTTAGTGACATGCATGAAGCCCTGGAACAGTACACGCAAGTTTTTCATCCAACCATGCCCGTGAAACCACCTAGCCCTCGGGGGGCGGACTGTGTCCACACACTGCGAAAAATGCACTCTGAACCAAGAAGTGTGACTTAGGATCTGAATGAACAGATCACACAATGAATGGGCCCAATTATATCACATATGTTTGGGGGGGAAAAAAAGAGAAAAACAGGAGAAACTGTTTCTGCTGTGGAGAATCTGTCACTCTGCAGAGGAGGATGAACGTATACACAGCATGAGTTTTTAACACTGACTGAAGGCTTTTCCACATTCGATATGCATCATTCAATGAGTCTGCGGGCTTTTTCTCTTGTATGAAATCTCTGATGAAAAGCAAGAGTTGACATCCCGCTCAAGGTTTTCTCACATTCATCACAAGTCAAACCCTCCTGACCTAAACGAATATTTTTGTAATTCGTTACAACTCAATTTTCCCTCCACTTTTTTCTCATGTGTATCAAGATAACTACTCTTGGTTCTGTCTGTAAGAAGGATTCTATTCAAATGAAAACTTCTCCCACAGATACTGTGGTTGTCTCTTTCCCCAAGAAAGGTTTCTTTTTTTTTTTTTTTTTTGAGACAGAGTCTCACTCTGTTGCCCTGGCTAGAGTGAGTGCCGTGGCGTCAGCCTAGCTCACAGCAACCTCAGACTCCTGGGCTCAAGCAATCCTTCTGCCTCAGCCTCCCAAGTAGCTGGAACTACAGGCATGCGCCACCATGCCCGGCTAATTTTTTTTTCTATATATTTTTAGCTGTCCAATTAATTTCTTTCTATTTTTGATAGAGACGGGGTCTCGCTCTTGCTCAGGCTGGTCTCGAACTCCTGAGCTCAAATAATCTGCCCGCCTCGGCCTCCCAGAGTGCTAGGATTACAGGCGTGAGCCACCGCGCCCGGCCAAAGAAAGGTTTCTTTATGAAAGACATTAATATTTTCTTTTGCCGGAGGTTCATCTCCTGACTTACCGGCTGCGTCTCAAACAGAGCATCATAACCCCAGTTTTCCCCTAACACAGAGTACTCCAGACTATGGTTTGTGAGTCTCTCTGTAATCACTGCGTGGGATAACTTCTCTTCACAGAAGTCCTTCTTTAGAGGTAACTCCTCGGTCTCCCGCACAGCATTCAAGTCTGAAAGACATGAAGAAAGCAAGTATCTCTTTTATTACGTGCTAGTATGAAGGAAAATTCCAAAATGTAACCAAATGAAATAAAACCCTCAAAAAAGCATATGATTTTGAAAACTTTTTTACATGACCAGGAATATTCAGCCAACCTTATCTTCTTAAATCTGTGCAGATACAGTCCTAAAGCATACAATAAGAGCTTTCCCACCTAAATATTGAACAAGTAGTGTATATTAATATCATATTTTTAGCAGAAGACTGGAAAAAAGAAATTAAAAATCAAGAAGTGAGAGAGCTCACAAAGGCTTAAATCTAAAATAAGATGCTGCTAATATTAATGTAAACAAAGAGGAAGTGGTGGCTACCAAGTAAACTGCTATCTGATCCTTATTTCAGCTTTATTAAGTAAACTCCCTTTGACTCTTTCTACATTTTACCCATCTAGCAAAAATTTCACCTCTATTTCTGTATGCCTCCTTTTCCATTACGACGCTAACTAGTAAAAGTCCAGATCCTGGCCTTAAAAATGCCCGTCTTCACAATTAACTAGAGTCACAACAAGAGAGGAATGATCCGCAGGAGGGAAAAACAGTTCTAGCTGATAAAACTAGTTCAAAGAATGTGATTCACCAAGATGTAAAACTGCAAACATTCACAAGATGCCCTTCTGGTTCTCCTGTGTGATGCCATGACCCACAGGAGTCATAATCTGTAATTGGGAACAACCTGTCCAGTTCTGTCAATACGAACTTTTCTTGTGAAGTGTGATGCGAACAAAGAAATTTTATAAGATTCTCAATTCTCTAGAAATTGTTAACCATTTCCTATTATAATAAAACCTCTGAAAGAAATCTATAATTCTGATTCCTTGCCTTACTTGATAATTTGCTGTTTCAGAAATAATGCTGTCGTTGAAATCTCTGTATTCCCACTGTAAAGATCGCTGTAATATCTGTAAGCATATTCCATCAAATCGAATCCATGTTCTTTTCTTCTGAGAGCCAAAAACGCGACTGTACGCTGCCTGTCTGCACTGGACATCCACTTGACCCAAATCTACTACAGCCCAACCCAAACTCATCTCCTAACCTACCAATCTCTTCCTTCTAATGTGTCTATTCAAGGCTCTACTCTCATTCCATGTTTCCCTGGCTTAAAACTGGAATGATTTTTCTTCTTCCTTATGTCCCTGTTGACACTTGTCACACATGGAACAGTTTCTACTTCTTTTAAGCTGCGTGTAGACCTGTCCCATCCCCCCATGAGACGGTTTATTCTCCCACGGCTTACACTCACCTCACCAACCAGCATCCGGCGGCCTTACTGAAAGCCAAAACTCTGTCCTCATCAGTTAAAAGAATAAGTCCGTAAATGAAAGAGTCATTTAAATCAAAGACAAATGAGACAGTAAAATCTACATCAGAATCAGCCAAAGATTTATTTAAATAACTGAGATGATTCTGTAGGTCTGGGGAGGAGGGGCATGGAAAAAAGGGGTCCAAAGTAGAGGAAAATAAGTCATCTTTAGAGGGGGGAGCAAAGCTGGAGAAAAGAGGTGGGGGAGAAGAGAAATGTGGGGAGCCCATGCTAAAGCGGCCTTGGTTTTCCCTCTGGCCAGAGGCTTGGGAAGAGGCCTGGGAAGAGTCCGCTGAAGATGGTACCCAAGGAGCTGAGCTGTGCCCAGCAGGGTCACCACACCTGGTTCTCCCACACTCACCTGGGCACCCACCTCTCGTCATCTTTCTCTGCGCTGTCCAGGGCTCTTTTCCTTGTTCTAACGAGGAGATCACAGCGGGCTTAGAAACACAAAGTCCTAGACATGTGGGAGGAAACAGCACAGGGTCATGCTGAGGGGCCGTGCAGACTCCAGACGCAGTCCCCAGTCCCCGTGGCTTGAGGGAAGAGGGCAGAACACAGCTCGGTAACCGAGGAAGGAACGTACCTCAGTCACGGCAGTGAGCGGGGAGGGAAGGAGGAGCAGGGGCGGGGAGCGCGCTCACCCAGCGACACCAGGTTCCTGTAGTTCTCCAGCATCACCCTGCTGTACAGGTGCCTTTGCGCGGGGTTCAGCCACTCCCACTCCTCTTGGGAGAAATCCACGGCCACATCCCCAAATGTCACCAGGCCCTGCAATGACATAACCGTGCTCCTGCTCAACCAGTGCTCATGCCCCACGTGACTGGGGGCTGTTACAGAAGGAACCGCGTCCCCCCAAATTCCTACATTGGAGTCCTAACCCCTAGTACTTCTGGGTGTGACCATATTTGGAGATGGGGCCTCTAAAGAGGTAATGAAAGTTAAACGAGGTCATAGGGTGAGAACTAGTCCCATCTGACTGCTGCCCTGACACGCAGCAGCAGTACCAGGACGCACACACACAGGGAAAAGGCCACGGACACCCGGAGAAGGAGGCCGTCTGCAAGCCAAGGAGAGAGGCCTCCGGAGAACCCAAACCCTCCAGACACCTTGATTTCAGACTACCACCCTCCACAGCCTTGGGAAAAGAAATTTCTGTTGTTTTTGCTGTTTAAGATACCCAGTCTGTGATATTTTGTTATAGCAGCCCTCGTGAACTAACATAGGGGTCTAAGGTTACCCTGTCTTCATTTTGGGTTGCAGACTATATATTCAGTGAGTTGTAGATCTAGATAGTTATCGGATAGCTGGCCTCATTCTTTCAGAAACTCCAGAGAAAAGAGAAAAATATGGAGTCAGCCCCTGCCTTTGGAGAACTTGCAGTTTTGAGGGGTGAAAGTAGGTACACACAAGAAAAATATTTGACACCAATTCAAAACAATACATAATGAACGCTAAAT